AAGAAACAAAGGCTAGCCCTCCTTAAGGCAACAAAGGAAACAAACAAGGCTAGCCTGGCAGAACCTGATTTGGAAGGATTTAGACAGGGAGTTAATTCTTCCTTAAGGCAACACAGGAAAGAAACAAAGGCTAGCCCTCCTTAAGGCAACAAAGGACGACGCACACATTTTCTAGCACGTCTTCAAGCCAGATTTCTGAAAAGACACCTTCCAAAAAGAATTAAAACAGAAGTTAATTCCACACATCCCACACCATATCATAACCATATCATACAATTCACTCCTGATTTAATTCTTCTACTGAGGGACAACAGAAAATCAGCTACTAAAAAGAATCTTTTCACAGTCTGCAGTACGACCGCATATGTCACTAGAAGTAATCACAATGATTAGAGTTTTCCTTTGGCTTTAATCCAAGTTGAAAACGCAACCTACGGGGTAACCTACGTGTAGGACCTATCTCTACCTTTCGCCCCCATTCTTAAGTTTATGTTGGAGGAAAAGTAGGAACCAGACAGACGCGCTGAGTCACCGACATCGACTTGCTATTGCAAGTGTGTTTTCTATAGAAGCTCATGTTCCAACCTCTCCAGTCACGCTCGCCAAAGCCTACCTTCGCGCCAGCATTACTGCCGCACTCTCTTCACAATGATTTCTAGTTGCTGCCAACAAAATGAGTTGACCCTGGCATATGTGTAATTGCCGTGCTTTTTTGATGCAACGGAAGTCATGTTTTGAAGCAAGGCATGTTTTGGAGCCATGGATGGCAGAACTTTGCAAAGAACGCTTCACGTTACGCAGTTTTGGATAGAAGAAGGCGTGAAGACGTTGTTGCAACATGTGTATCACTGTGTTAAAGTTAAAGCCAAATTGTATGAAATTGTTTGCGCTTTGTACGCCAACTGCAGCTCTTGTTACAGTATCTTGGACATGGCCTGTCGAAACTTCATTAAATTTTCACGAGATAACATAAATTATTTGTGGCATGATTGAGGTTTTGGAAGTCTTGCATTGTTTCCTGGCACCTGTCACACTCTAAGCTCCACCAAACACGGTGTGGGGTGAGCGTCAAACTAGCTACTGAAATCACTGAATGATTGTTGGACCGTCAACAAACTTTTCGTGACAAAATTGCCCCATGTGTTGGCTTTGTCAAGGCTATATCACCTGGTGGCTTTCAAATGGATGGAGCAGCCAGGAACTATCCGGTATGAATCTGAGAGAATGCGACACATTACACAAGTGTGTGCTCCTTTGCCTCCTAGGTTTGAGCGTTCTTTTTGCATTCTTGCTTGCTGCTGGCACATTTCTGTGGGTGCGCTCCCAAGTGCGATTCAAGTCCTCGGGGTGGCAAGCTGCTACCAATTCCAGGCTGCAACTCTCAGCTACACTTCCGCCAGTGTCTCAGCTACCGTTTTGTGGACGCAAAGGCTGCAAAGGTACAGTAAACACTGTTGTGCTGACAATGTGTAGCCAGGTTCACGGCTTCTCTTTCCTCATTGGAGTGGCAGTCATGCTTGTGGCCAGCTTAATTCGGCTCCTAAGAATGTCATGAGAGTGCATGCGGCTTGCAAACAGACTTGGGTCAAAGATGGTCAAAACAGGTCCTCGACCGTTTCAACGGAGTGTGCGGGTTTTGCTTTGCAATTGTAGAATTTAAGCAGCCAACCTGTGTGAAAAGTTGAACATGCCCAAGGCCCCTGCGACGATGCTTCGTGACCTTGTCCAAGAGGAGGTGGCGACTATAACGAGCTTGGGGCGTTCTCAGGCCCTATCCAGCTTCAGCATGTTGCGTTTTGTATGTCACCTCATCCAGGCAAAAAGACGGCTGGTTCGAGTTGTTTCCTTATTTCGAGAGGTTTTTGACCTGCATGGACAATAATAAGGAACGACACAGACAGCACAGAAGACACGACAACTATATTGATTACTGTTATATGATATAGACAACTCTCCATCACCCCAGAAGATCACAGGAGATGTATTTGCTGTTTGCACACTTTGTCAAAATTCAATGCGTTTGCTAGTCATTTGCTGTGCGGATTTTGCAAAATGTTGCAGGCTGCGTTGATTGTAAGTGTCTTGAGTCTGTTCTTGGAGGGAGCGAGCGGCCTCAGAAAGTTTGCTGCAAACTTGTCAGTTGTGGTGTCGGTTCTCTTGGATGGCCCAAAAAACCATATTTGTGGTTATTCCACGGAGAGCTAAGGTCAGATCGTCTGCCATGTGGACAGCCAAGATTCGCATTTTGAACTCAAGATGGCGCCTGTTGAGCCACAAGCTAAGTGATAAACAGAGCCAAGCCCGAGTATTTTCTGAAGAGTTGGTAGGTGCAGTTAGTTCCGAGGCTACGGCACAATTCTGCAGAGCTGCAGTCACTTTTGCGCATTCCTGTCACCAATCGCTGCTTGGAAGCATGGGCAGGAGCAACACTAACATGAAACATCCCACCTGGCAGAGATGCAGAATCGGTTGAAGCTGTTGCCGATTGCATCCGACTGCGAGGTGTGCGAGATCCTTGCTCGAATGAACTGTTCTCAGCTTGGACACTGGTTTTGGTCATTTGATATCTAGACAGCCAGGAACGGCGTGACATTTATAACCCGCAACCAAAAGGAGTGCTGACAATGTTCGGTGCATGTGTGTACTCATGTGACTCATTGACTCAATTCTTGAAAATTAAAGGTTGCTTGCTTTCGCCGAAGGAGTTGGCCGACGCCATGATTGTGTCTGCTCCTCCCCCTGTCGTAATGCGTTCCAACTCTGTTCTGACCTGTTCGTTATGACTCTCATGTTTCAAAGCATAATTGTGAACTCACTGAGGGTCTGCCTTTGGGCTTGTTGCAGTTCTTTTTCCAGGCAACGGTCAAAGAGTCGAGTCTTGAACTCGCATGATCGAACATGAGCTGGGAAGAGATGCAGGTATCAGTCGCTCCCTTTATCAAGAAGGACACTTTGCAACCTCAGATGGCTTGAAATCCTAGCATGGCCACCGTGTGATTTCCTGCTAGACCAATCAGGATATGGGAGTCTCAGTTGGGGCCGAGAGAACAAGGAGCCTTACTTTGCAGAGTGTCACGTCAACTCAGAAGATGCAAGTCCCATGCCGTTGCCCACAAATCAGGTTTCTTCCCCTCTTGAACTGAACAAAATCGCAATGATGCAATACACTCGACCAACGATAACGACAACAACAACAACAACAACCGAAACCAAAACCGACAACCGCAACAACTGCTGCTGCTGCTGCTGCTACTACTACTGCTACTGCTACTGCTACTACTACTTCTTTTGCTTCTTCTTCTTCCTTCTTCTTCATCGTGTGCTGACAGTATATCTCGGGCCACCATCTACTCTCAGATAGATTAGTCGCATCGGTTTGCGCTAAATGTTGCCGTTACTTGCGTCGAAAGGTCTTCGGGAAGTCGCATCGGTTTCATGATTCCATGCTGTTTTGAGAACATGCGACATGCAAATGATCTAGCTAACCTTTCTTTCAATGCTACTGGGGCCTCGCTTTAAGTCGTATCAACTGGAGGAAAGTCGTATCAAAATGGTGTGCCCTTGGGATGGGCTTTTCTATGGATGTTTGTTGTTGTTCTATTTGTTCTACGAACTGATGTTA